GATGGAGCAAGTCTTTATTTATTTATTTATTTATTTATTTATTTATTTATTTATTTATTTAAAGAGAACGGGAAAACTTGACAACGTATGTAAACTGAGGGAAAGAATGAACTTATCCTCACAACCATTAATCAGTCTCTTCGAGTAATTCCTCTACCTCCTTCTCCAGCCGCTTTGGCTAAATAAGCAAGACATTTTACTTTTTATTGCAAAGCTTAGAGATTGATACAGTGTTTTTCTCTGGTTGAGAGAGCCTCTACTTATCAGAAAAAAACCGTGTGTTCCTAAGATGAGGATCTGCCAGTCCCATGACGAGGAGACCTCTAGCCATTTCTTGCTGTGATTGATGGAGCTGCGTGTCAGCTCACTGGAGATACACCACCTGTGTCAGGCTGCTATGGAAGAGACTCATAAGTTTGCCTTTCCCTCGGTGTGCGGAATTGTCCAGGAGACACACCAGCCTGCTGGGGAAAGGGCTGCTGTTTTGAGTCCTCAGTGTACTTGTGGCATCAGGTGCTGGGTACCCACTCCTGTGACAGGCCACATTGCTCTCCTGCCAGTTGGGTCGCAGGTTGAGAAGGGACGTGAAATAGTGGGAGTCCTGCCCTGTGACAAAACAAATTAGGCACCTCCAAGCCCTCCCACACGATAGATGTCTGCGCTAGGGAGCCAATACCGGGTCTGAGCCTGGCACGGTGCCTGCCACACAAGTAGGAGCCGGAGAAACACCTTTTTGACTCGATGAAGACCCATCCATCACACAGTAATGAGGATATAATGATTACTGCGAGTTCTTTCACTACCGCAGCAACTTTTCCTTTGCAATGCTCTTGCATTTGTTGTCCCTACACGCTGTAGTGTTTCATTCTGAGTCCTCTTCTGCCTTACGCGTAAAGGAATCTGTGCTCTTTTCAGCCGTCCTTGCTGATGCCTGTCTTGTGGAAATCGGTGCCCACCTTTCTTGGTTCTTCTGAGTTCTATGGGAGAAATCAGGGGAGGTTCAGCTCACAGCTCAGAGGACTCTCGAGGGCAGGCAACAGCCATGGGAAGAAGGACAGGTCTTTGCTTGGTGCTCGGGTTAGAATTAGGGAGCTACGAGGGGTGTGGTGTCCATGTCAGCTCAGACTAAGGGAAGACCTTCTCCCGCTGACAGTTGAATTTTCATTTTCTAGTGGGAAAGTAAGAATGCAATACAAAGCAGAAGACTGACAATGTACTTAAATAAAATATACACCCTCCATCATTCCCCATTCCTATTTCCCTTGCTATAGGTTACAGCTTTGAGGTATCTATTCATTTATTAACTTTTTTCCTGAGGGCCCAGAGGGTACTAGGCTCTGTCCTGATTGCTGGGGATATAAAGGTGAATGAAAACGTCTTAGGTCCTGTCCTCATGGGGTTTGTATTCTAGTGGGTCAGACAATAATGAAGAAGTTAAAGCAATATAAAATATAATGTGGGGAGTGCTAGGAAGAAAAGGGATGCAGAATAAGGGGCTAGAGAGCTCTGAGTGGCCAGGGAAGCCTTTCTAAGGCAGTGACTTTGTGCAGAGATTTGAGTGACATGAGGGTGTGGACCATGCTTATGACATCTCTCTCTCTCTCTCTCTCTCTCTCTCTCTCTCCCTCTCTCTCTCTCCCCTCCCTCTCTCCCCCCTCCCTCCCCTTTACTCCCCCCACCTCCTCACATTCCTCTCTCAGAAATTGGACCATATCATACATACTATTTTGCAACTTACTTTCTCAGTTCACAATATAATGTTGACTTCTTTTCATGATAATTCATAAAAACCACCTTCATTCGTTTTTAATTCTGCACAGAACTTCAAATACACATGTACATGTATAATATACACTCACATATAGACACATACACACACACATATATATATTTAAAGTTGTTCCTACACGCTGGGACACTATTTTGTCATCACCCAGGTGCAGAGCAGAGCCCAAGGGTCTCATTTTGGGAAAACTATATGATGCAGTGACATGGCCTGGGAGATAGGAACCTGTTGGAATAATTTTCATCCTTTGCTTAAAGTTTTTTTATAAGTGATAAGTGACCTCCAGCAGCTTCTTGATTTTGTTTTCTCTTCCTTCATTCCCCCATTTTAGTCCTATTCTGTCCTTCCTTTTACACTCCTGTTCTTCGAATCTGCCTGCTACTCTGGGTCCCTTGGGGCACAGCACAGAGGGGACGGTTCTTATTTATGCTATTCTTCAATTCCTCTGGCTTCTCTCTAAGTCATTTTTATTTGGGACAGTGCTTAAGTCAAAGGAAAAATTTCTGGCCTGGTGTGGCCCTCGCTTGGGGGAAGTGGTTTGGTGTATGGGGTAGGGTGATAATGACCTCCTCTTTCCATCTGGAGTGACTGCCCAGAGGGTCAGCTTGGTTCTCTTTATTTGCTTTCATGGGCTATATTCCCTCATCCCGATATGTTATACTCATTCATGAAGTTAATCAATCAATCCAATATTTGAGCTTCTCTGTTCTATTCTAGGTTTTATGCTGCTTCTTAGGTAACTAAAATTGACAGTTTTTTCCTTTAAGAAGAATATGGGTTAATGAGGGAATAGTGTGCAAAGAGAAAGATAGCAACAAAACACACACACACACACACACACACACACACACACACGCAAATATATATATATATATATATATATATATATATATATATATATATATATGCAAGAACGGACTTTTCATTGTGTTAAGTGCCTTGAAAGGAAAAACAGGACAAACCTAGCTTTGACTAAGGGCAGATGTCAGGGCCAACCTCTCAGAGGAAAGAGCCTAGAGGCTGAAGTCTAATGGGGGACCAGAGGCTACCTCACTAGGAAGGGGTCAAAGGAGGAGCAGAGCAGGTGGGAGGCCTGGCCTGATTGGGGCCTGGGATCAGACTGAGTGTCTCTATCAGAGAGATTGAAATTGGCCAGTGAGACTGCCGCTTGGCAAGTTGGAGAAGAGTGACAGGAGATTGGGAAGTGGTCTGGCATCCTGTCATGCCATAGATTTATTCTAAGTGTTGTGGGAAGGCATTCAAAGGTCCTGGGCAGTGAAGTGACACAGACCCATTGACATTTCCAAAAGATCCCTCAGGCTGTTGCAGGGAGTAAAGAGTAGATAGCAAGAGTAGGCCACTGGAGGAATCCAAGGACAAATGAAAGTGATTGGACCAGGGTGGTGGCAGTGGGGAGGGAGAGAATCAGGTAAGCCTGAGATGTAGATTCTACTCCACAATTACCGTCATGCAAGTTGGAGTGCCTCCTCACTTAGGGGTGGGTACAATCATTGTTCGTTTTGCAAATGAGGGAACTATGAACCCTGAGGGGTAAGGGGACACAGGTAGTTCTGTCTGATTCCAGAGCCAGTGTTTTTAACCACTATGCTAATCTGCCCTTGAAATGTAGGCATAGAGGATCAGAGTTTAGGGAGGATGGAGTTGAGTTTTTAACTTATTATTATTATTATTATTATTTGCATTCAACCCAACTACTGTACTTCTCATTCCTGTTCCTCAGTGTCTTATACATTGGGACACTTTAGGCTTTCTATCCCTGGAGCACCAGCACTGCAGAACTCAGGCCCAGAGGAAATAGTTCCCTCAGAATCACACAGGCAAAAACTATAGCGGGTGGAGTGGTTTTTAGCTGGGGCTTTGACAAAGGAAATACAATTCTTAGTATTGCTTTCTGAACATATGGGAGACACAGAATTAGCACCAAATTTGGAAGCTGATTCTCTTCTCAGGGATATAGTTACAGCAAGGAGAGAGACTCTCCAACTTGGGGGAAAGACTCCCTGTGCAGAAGTATTATATATCTCTAGGTCCTGAAAGTGAAGTTCAATGTTTGATTCTCTTTGGCAGCTCTAAATTTAGGCTCTGTGATTCACTAAGTCGAGTGTGTGTGTGTGTGTGTGTGTGTGTGTGTGTGTGTGTGTGTGTGTGTGTGGAGAGAGAGAGAGAGATCGAGATCATGCACGTGTGCCTGTGTAAGAAAGTGGTAGCAAAGTGCATATTATTTGTGCATGGTAATGTATAACCCTTGGTTCACTTCCTCACCTCCTTGACTGATCAAATATTTGCTTTTATAGTGTACCCCTGTGGACAATGTTTTATTTGTAAACAAGTCTCAGGTGCATAGGTTTCCATTGATCATGGGTAATTTTCATAAACCATAAATTTTTCCCCTTTAGAAGCATCTTAAGGTCACAGCTGGGGTGGGATTTGGATAGGGGTGCATCTCTTGCCCCTGGCTGCTTTTTCTGGTCTAATAAAGAGCGCCCACTGCCAGGCCTTTTGGTCAACTGTCCCTAGTGCTTCCAGAAAATGTAAGTGGTGGCCAGTGCAAGACACACAAGCCCAAGAGGGCATGCTGGTCTCCACTTTCTTTTATCCCGATTCTTGGTTTGTCTTAATTATTGTGTCATGCTTTTATTCTCATGAAATAATTCAAAAGCAAGTACTTGCAGCTTCAGGATTTTAGAAAGCCTGTGGTTGAAGAAAATGTCTCCCATAAAAGAGAGAGGAGGAGGAAGAGGAATCCACTTAATACAAAATGACTGGAGGGGGAGAAATCACTCATACCTCATTATTGACGCGTTCCACACAATTAGTGTGATCTTGAGGGAAGAACGTTTGAGCCACCCACAACCCTGAATATTCTCATTGGGTAGATGTGATCATAATGCATTTCACCGTGAACCCTCCCAATACTGCGGGCCGTGAAGGGGAGACCCCATCTTAGGGTTGTCAGTCCCGGCTCCCAGAGAGTCCCTTTCTCTCCTCCTCTGTGCGAGGACAGGGTAAGCCTGGCCATTAACCCACAGGTGACCCACATAGAATTTTCTGTCCCAGGGACCCATTGATTGCCAGGTATGGCTTTGTGGTAATTCTAGCATTTGCATCCCAGCAATTTGAACCTTCTGTCTGCCTAAATGATGATTTTACATTGTAATGGTTGTACTAAATCCTTTCGCTTTTGCCTCCATAGCCGCTGTTGTGACAAGAAAAGCTGTGGCAACCGAAATGAGACTCCCTCAGATCCAGTGATAATTGACAGGTAGGGACCACTCTACTTTCACTGGCTTCTTATTCCTCATTATAATGAAACACCTGCCTTGTGTCGCTCATGGGCGAGGGTTAGGAATGCATGTGGCCGAATGTGCCTGTTGGTCATGACTTAATCCGTGCCGAGCTATTGCGAATCCTGGGAAAGCCATATGGAATGTTCTTTGGAGGCCTGTTTTCTTGGATTGCTCCGGTTTTGTGTCTGATTCATGCTCCGAAAGGAATATTTTTTTTCCCCCCTGACTTTCAGTGGCTCAGTCCTCACGCTGTGCCAGGAAGCTTCAGAAATAAAATAATAATAGTTTGTGATTTATGAAATGTGGTTGGGTGCTTATAAATATTTAACTTTTATTTGAAAAATGTTTGAATCATTATCACTTTTAGCTACAGTAGTCCTTTTGGATGTAATCCATCTACATTTTAAGGTTTTATTTATGCATAAAAGCAGTTTTAAAGAGATCTGCGAACCACGATTTTCCTACTGTTATTTCCTGGGTTTGATTGTAGCTCATACTGTATCGTAAGTTGATTAATTTATCCTGCTTGTCTTAATTATCGTGTTTTTAAACAGATCCATATTACTAATCTGACATGACCGAGTAAATCACTGTGGAACGATAAATCTGTTTTAGTTGTTCGGTGCAATTTGAAGCCAGTATGTGCACATATTATGCAAAGCCACATTCCAAATATTCATTTTACATTTTAATTATTGAAATTCATTGTATGGAAACATGTATGATAAACCATTTGTTACATAGCACTACTCATTGAGAGTTAAATGGCCTGGAAGGTTTATAGATGCTGTCGGTTGTCAGCTAGGAAAAGAGCTAGCACCCTCCACCAGCCGGAAAAGAGTCTTGCAAGCAAGACTGACTGACTGATCCCTCATTGAAGGAACCTACAGCTGAACAAAAGTCTCCTTTGGAGTTTGATAATATTGTTTTTTTACAATGTTCCCCTCTTCCCCCCACACTTCTCTGTCTTCCTAATTCTTTTATCATTCAGGGACTTGCCTAATCATTTTTCAATGAACTGGAAAGTGTTTGCTTCATCATAATTTATGACAAAACATTGGTTATTGATTTTGACATATGTGATTCTTCAGGCTTAAGCCCAATTTTGTTTATTTTATTTTTTAAGCCCAATTTTGATTGCCAAGTAGTTTCCTAAAGCTCACATTTCAACTGGATGTTTTACTTAAGTATTTCTCACTAATGTTCACTAACAACATACACTTTTGCCTGATAAATAAATATGAATATACTTGATTCAAAGGTAACGCAGGTAATGTTTGCAGTATAGTGAGGTGGTGTGCGTCTGTAGAATTCGAATGACATGTTTGTCTGAGACCACAGGCCTGCCATTCATATAATATATTTTTTTTCTGCAACAGAAGATAAATATTCAAATACTATAAAACAATAAGTATCACCTCTGTGCTGTTTGTTTCATTTAAATACATCTCTTCAAAAATACCACTTCTTATCCTAAGTAAATTTTTCTTACTCAGCCATCAAAAAGAAAGTGTTCTAATCAAAGGACCAGCCCAGATCGTCCCCCCAAATTTGAAACTCTACGCATTTTGTTCTGCTCCCCGGTTCCTTTTGGTTTAGATGATGACAAGAACTTACCTTGCCACACTCAATGAAAACATTTTTTTTTTTTTTTTTGCTTGTGAATGGGTTAAGCTTTTAAGTTCTTCGTTTGGTTTTAAGCGTGACTCTGATATAGAAGGTTGATAGGACTGTGGTTTGAATAACATTTGATTTTGACCTGTTCCTGTGGGTTGCAATGGCAGAAGAAACTTGACTCAGCAGCGCTGTAATTAGCCCGGCCAGTGTTTTTGAAACAGGATTGTGTTACCTGGATTGCATTAGTGTGGCTTCTATTGTTGCCGCTTTGCATCTGTCCCAGTAGGGTACTTAAAACCTTTTCTTGGCTGGGGTAGTTCAAACAATTTAGGCAAAATAAGTATGCACTTTATACTGTTGGTGGCTTTGGAGATATTACTCAGGACATTTATCCTTTTCATTTTTTCCCCCCCCTTTTCGGTCTGACAAAATAGAAAACTGTGTGTAGCCAGTGCTGGTCTCTTAAGAGAGGAGAATTCTACAAACAGCTGAAACCCAGTGCGTCTGCACCAGTCCAGCGTGTGTTTATTTGCTGGCTGTTGCCACTGTCTCCTGTGAACTATCTTTTTAAGCAGCGATGCCAGCTGATATGCAAAAACCCATTTAACTATCCTTTATTTGCGTCCGAGTTTCCACAATTTGCCTTTCAGACGGCCAAAAGGCTTTTAAAGCTCCAGGCTTGTCTATGCTGATACGTGAAACTTCCATTTTTAACGATGAGAGAAGAGAATAACAATAAGAAAAGAACTCACGCAAGGAAAAGCAAAATAGAAAAGATTTTTCAATTCCCTACAATTGCTGCAAAGGGGAAAAAAAATGAAGGCAACTGTGTTTGAATTTCATGGTTTACAATTTGATTCTATATTACTGATTGCATAATATCTGTGTTACATGCTTAGGGTTTGATTTGTTTTCTAGATTTATGGATGTGAATTCCTGCATATTTTGGAAAAGTAGGTTATGGGGCCTGCATACAGTAGCAGTAGCAACTGTTTTTTTTTTTTTTTTTTTTTTTTTTTTTTTTTTTTTTTTTTACAAGATGCACACAGTATGTAATTATAGAGCTGAGGGTATAGGCAATCGTTATGTTAGGATTTAGCATAGTTTTAACACACAGTTACCTTTTGGGCACCAGTACTTTTTAGCTCCCTTTGCTTGTCCTTCAGATTTTGGAAGAACACTGCTAAAAAAAAAAGACTTTAAGCAGTGGTTATGCTGAAAAACTATTTATAGGGTAGATAGAAGAGGCTGTCTGGTCATATGGCAATGGTGCAGGGTAAGCTCTTTCTGTGTTGAATTTTGGCTGTATGATTTGCCGCCAGTGATTTGGGGACATCAGCTTGGCATAGTCTATCCAAAAAGTGGAATTAACAAAATCAGCAGTAGCACACTGTGTTGCAGAAAATGACTCCTTTTACAATTGTGACAATTTGTCCAGTCACTTTGAAAAGCTTTTTGGAAAATTCTCTGCAAACGTAGGACGTGTGCATCTGCAGTTGACTGCCAGGTTATATTTTATATTTCTGCCTGATACCAAATGGCTTGATGAAGAATGATAAAACCCAGGCTGTGCCCAATGATCCAGATATTTGGGCTGTGTAGACATGGAAAAAGTTAAAAGTGTTATGTTTAATAGCTGATGACCAGGAACTAATAATAGCAAATTTCATTATTGTTGAGGTAAAGGGCTATGTATAGTAATTATTGTTAAATAAAAAGCAAAACAATGATTTGCAGTTATTGAATTACAGTGGAGATTGACTTAACATATTCACACAGTAACTCATATTTGAATTTAAAAGGTTTGCAATAAAATTCATGTTTAGAAATTGAATAAATTGTAGTTTTATTACCACATTGGATATCCTTGTGTCCTAACCTTTTTCCTTGGAGTTATCTAAGTTCAATAAATAAAACCTCATTAGACTATTCCCATTTCAACGAGTTTATTAAATTTTGCAGGAGTAATTAGCATAAGCTGTGCTAATTTTTCTGGAAGACTAATGAGGGAGGTTCTTAATTAGGTTTACTTTGTGAGAATCAGAAAAGATGATAATGACAAAAGTCACATAGGGTAGTCTGAATTGGGAACCCAGTTTTTCTGAATCTGTAAAAAGGAGCTTCAATTTTCTCGATGGAAACTTCTTTATAAATGCTTGAACTGAATATATTAAATGTGCAGAATGTCATTCTGTATCTAGTTGTTAGGATTACCATCCACTCTTGATTTGCTTCACAAAACTTTATTTTCCTACCCTCGACTCACTAAACTATCTTTAAGCAATGACACAGATGAATATAGATGGTCTTACAAAAACGTTTCTTTCTCCAAATTATACTGCAGGATTCCTTACACATGGAGCCCTAAAATTTCTCGTCAGATTGGTGCCACTTATTGTAAAGCAGGATAGGGAATGGCTCAATATTTGTGTTTTGTTTTCCCCCCAATTTTATTCTAATTTTATTCAGTGTGCTTGATAGAATCGTTAGGCCACTAAATAAAAGGAAAAAATAAGAGCTCAATTCTTTATTTCCTTGTACTGTGGATCTTGATCAGTTAATAGTGCATTTTTGAAAACAGAAATAATACAAGATGAAATTCTTCCTCAAATTATCTTCTCCTATCTCATGTGAATTTAGACATAGCTCTTTTGGGATATATAGCTCAAGCAACCTGCAAGTTTTGAGTTTCTCAGAGCCAATATTTAAAGCATGGATTTATAGAGCCTGTCAATTAAGATACCTCTTAAGATTTTGGGTTTGCACATTGTAACCTTAACAGATTTGTCTTTATTTTCCATTTATACTAATTCTTGTATCTATGTTTGAGATGAAAGCTTTGACATGTAACATTAAAAACACATACTAATTTCATAGAGTGAGAAGCCAACTCTGTTTGGAATATATATGTATTTTTACACACACACACACACACACACACACACACACACATATATATATATATTATATATATATATCATATATATATAGTTAAAAGATCTTTCATATCTAGATCACTTGTATTTAGGTAACATTAATTGGGTATGTCTTAATGTTTATTGGTTGAAAAATGTTTAGGTGTGAAAATATTAGGATGCTTATTTTACCTGTTGATTTTACAGGATGTAAATCACCTGAATAGAAAAGCTTAACCATGTCAGGGTTGATCAAAGAACCAATTTTATTTACGATCTATTATTCATCTAAGAGATATAAATACTGTGGTAGGACATTTCATAAAGTGCAGTGCTATCACCAAGCTAATTTCTTAATTAAATTGGTCGCGATATATTTATATAACATATATATTCATTTGTATAATAGGAAAATAATATTAAAAGTTTAGAATTAGCATATA